TGGCAGGGGGCTGTAGCCAAAATGAGTTTGTCTTTAAGCTCTTCATCCATTCATCCAAATTAGGCCTTAACATGCTTGAATTGCATGAATTTTGCTCTCTAAAGCCATCATTATTACCTAAAGCTCAATGAACTGAAAGATAAACACAAAAAGGATTAAAAGCACAAGTTTAACTCAAAAACATAATCAAATCATAAGCTAGAAGGGTACAAAATGATATACAATTATGAACCGATCAAGTGCGAAACTGGGCTTCGGGGGGCCTTTTGCCCGGGTTAATGCCTAGCGCTGGAAGTGCTCTAATATGGCCGACCTCATTTTTGTGGGCCTTTATTTTGTTTATGTGCTCTCCTACCCATTGTTGGCATTTATGTTGCACGGACACTCCAATAAGTCCAAGTGTCGGAGTGTTGGACACTTGGACACTTGGACACTCAGATACTCCTTGGATATCCTTGTCCAACGGTCAACCTATCCACTGTCAAGACACTCCCCATACACGGTCAGGACACTCTGGGCATGAGTCAACTCATACTAAGGATCAACTATAATGCATTCATTCAATTATAATTCAAATAAAATTTATAAACTACATTTGAAAGGATTAAAAAGCTTGAATTTCACTATATATTATTGTGAAATTGGAATATGAACATTAATATTTTGTTTTTTTTTTGTTTAAAATATAGATAAGTATTATTATAAATTATTATTTTTAATTACCGTGTCCATGCCCTTGTGTCCTTGTTTTTTGAGATTTGCCTTTTCCCCGTGTCTCCGTGTCGCCTTATCCGTGTCGGTGCATCATAGGTTGGCATATGGTTTCACTTTAAAACCCTAACCATACCAATGCATGTCGGTAGGTTCATCGATTCCTTCACTTCGGTTCAGTTGCCGAACCAAACCCAACATGTATCATTAACATTTCTATCCAAATGACAAATATGTGGAAATAGCAAAACTCTGAACACACATCAATACTATTAAGCATGTTACATGCATACAACAGTAAAATATATCAGCTCTTGTGTTTACATCATACACGTCTTTTGTTCACATATCCCACTCACTACCCACGGGATTATGTATAAGAGGCTACTGCAACTGGTGGATTACAACAGTAAAATATATCAGCTCTTGTGCTTACATCATACACGTCTTTTGTTCACATATCCCACTCACTACCCACGGGATTATGTATAAGAGGCTACTGCAACTGGTGGATGAAGGCTTGTACACCACATTGAGGGCAAACTGTATCATAAACTCGTTTTTAACTTTGACAAAACGGTTTCTTCAAGATAAGAGCCCATCTCCATCTAATGCATTTAAAAGAAGTTTCTACGTGATTGAAATTTTTATTTTTTTTATTTAAGAAAAAGTTATACTTTCTGGGGAAAAAAGAGAGCAGGTTGTCCATCTCCTGATCTGCACAAGGACAAAGGCTATGATCTACTAAAATAAGAAAAGAGAAAGCTTGGAAACACTGCTCTTTAGATAATAGCAAGCATGCAAACTTCAAACAAGGCTGTCACTATAGTCACCAATATCATGAACACTAGAAATGAAAGTCATCGAACCTCTCATAACAGGTTGACTTAAATTTTGCATCCTTGCTACCATCTGAAGAACGATGCTTACCAACTTTCTCCTTTCCTCTCTTAGAAGAACGGGAACTAGCCGTGCTGTAAATTAAGAGGTCGACAGATTTGCTTCAATCTCAGAAAGAATAACTTCTTGCCACAAGCCCATAGAAACTTCTTTCAAGTTTGTCGCCATAAGGATTGGATTCTTGTCTTCAATCTGAAGTTTTGTCAAAGTCAGATGAACATGAATACAAGCAGCCCTAAATGTCATACAAGCCTTCATCCACCAGGTACAATACCAACATATACATGTCATGGTATGGGTGATACATGAGATATGACAACATATTACAATATTTCTTCTGCGAAACACCTTTTCAATATATATATATTTCTTCTGCGAAACACAACTTGCACTCACACCAGGCTACTGTCTTTAAGAAGATTAAAGATCAACCTGACAAGCAAATATCTTCGGATAGTATGACTTCAACCAGAATTGCGAAGGCAGTAGCTCAAAGCGCATACACTGATAATCCAAATATGTCATGCGAAAAATTCTCATCAGTGAAAAAAGAATCCAGAGTTTCGATAAAACCATTAAGACGATAAACCACGAATACTTCATTTCTAAAGATGGTCCTGATGTAAGATTCACATCTTTTACTCCAGTACCAGTATTTCTTGTTAAATGCGCATAACCTTGTGGAAACCACAGTTTCAATAAGAATCTTGCACAAAAATGAGCATCATAGTATTGGTAAATATTGATGGCAGCACCACATAGAATGATTTTATATACTTAGGATCAGTGCTAAATTCTTTCTTATATGCATCAAGGGACCGTAGAACAGAATATTTCGATGTTCATTTATCACCTGAAATTATACAAGTATACATGTCAGAGAAAGGTAACAATGTACACAATAAGAAACAAATATCAAGCCCCTTAATGCAAAGCCATCAAGCACCATGCTTAGAGGGCAATTATTGCAAACATATGTTTTAAAATTTAAATTAGCTTCACAGTGAATGCCATATAACCCATTCCCTAGAGTATATAATAAAAAATTAAAAAGCGGGAATATGTTGCCAAAAGAAGAAGAATGGAAGACGAAAAGGCACAAATCTACAAAGGAGAGAGAAATTGTTAAGTCTCATAAAATTAAAGGAAAAAAAAGGACTAAATTGCAATAAGAACCCTCAATTACTAGCATCTCAATTTAGTCCCTGAACTTTAACTTTAACAATGTCAACGTTAAACTATGAATTTGTGTCAAAGAGAACCTTTTGTTACTAACGTCTATTAAATACTCTTCTACATGAATTCTGCAGGAGAACCACCTGTTACTAACATTATAAATCATTAACCCTATAGAGCATACTGATGACAAAAGAAGTGTTTAGGATGTACAATATGTAAAAATACTGAGGAGGGTCCCCTATCTCAACTGCTGGTTGAAGTGCAAACATACCAAATCCAGAAATGTTTACCACCATGAAAAGAAAGTTTGTGATGATCTAATCAAATGTTTTGACACTATATTACTTCGGGAATAAAGAAATCCAAACACCACCTACCTCTTCCGTAGAATTCAATCTCTACTCCGAATTCAACACTCAGTAATGAATCCCAAATCACCAATGCAAGAAACAAATCCTAAAAACACACCCAAAGCAAAACTCCAATCCTCAAACTGGTACTCCCCCGCTAGCTCATCAGCTCCATGGCATATTGGCATTACTCTAAAAGGGAAAAAATCACAACTTTTCTCTTGCTCTTCATGGTATCTTCGTTTTCTTAACACCGCCCTCAAATCCCCAACCACAAGATTATTACATCAAACTTTTTTTGAGAGAGAGAGAGAGAGAGAGAGAGAGAGAGAGAGAGAGAGAAAGAGAGAGAAGGCTATTCTTTCGACACATTTAACGAAACAAAGGAAGAAGGGTGTGCTTCTTGCTGTCTGGTCCGTGGGTTGAAAATATGCCATCCAAGCATGCACACCATGTCTTTTTTATTTACTGATGCGGAAGATAATGTTTTCCACCCACTTAAACACAAGTTTATTTTAATTTACTCCAAAACAGGAAGAAAAAAAAATGGGAGCACGTTTTGAAAGAAATGGAAGGATGTGGGAAAACAACCCAAACAGAAAGATATTGAATTGAATCTCAAATCCTTACATTGATAGCTGTCCAGGCATTCGAGAGTAAAATGAACAATTCTATGTGCCCAATGAAGCTTACTGACCCCATTGTGCAAACACCCACTTCATCCATGTAGATAAGCAATACTTGGAAAGATATTCGGGTAAATCCTCCTACAAAACAGAAAAAAGATTAGGTTAGCGAGAAAACACCCTTCATCTTCTAACTCCACGACGAACAACATGTAAGTTAGAATGACGTCCCAGTTTTTAAGTTCAAACGAGATCAAGTTTAAAGGACTGCTCAATTAATTCAAAACAAGAAACAGAAAAGAAAATAGGAAAATCAAAGCTAAATTGATTATGACCATTGCCCATGGATAAAAAAAAAAATGGATCAATTATAAAATAAACCACTGAGTTATGAGGCAAATTTCCATATAGTACCCAATTTTCAAAATCTTGCAATGTCAAACCCAAAGTTCGGAAACTTTTTGAAGGTCAACCTACTGTCACTTTGACTGTCAGGTCAAACCTTGTGTGCATTCTGGTAGTGTCTGAGATACAAGCTAAGGCATTTTCAGGTTTCCACAAAAACTTTTCCGCCCAAATGTTGTACACTGGTAGTGGCCGCTCTAATTCACTCTTTCTCTGGGCGATGGGCCTTATCAAAAGTCACACGGGCCAAGCATGCAATGTTTGGGCGGGAAGCTTTTACCAAAAACCTGAAAGTTTCTATAGCTCAGATCTGCACATCATCTAGAGTGTGGGTGCCACACTGCCATGTATGGGCATAAAATTTGACTAGACAGTCAAAGTGGCAGAGGCTTGACAATTAAAAGATTATTGATGGGTTTGATATTGGAAGATTTCGAAGATTGGATACTGAATACAAATTTGGATCATAGTTCAGGGGTGAATTTTGTAATGGACAAAATAAAAATATAAAATGAACTAATATAACAAGTACTATATCAGTGCAACACTTTACCCACTCAGCTTATACCAAATTATGCAAAGGTATCTCAACCATCGGCGAAAAGACAAAGTCATTGAAATACAATATGAAATCATGAATGAAGGAAATTAAACCAGTTGACTAAGCAATTGATATTAAGTACCAGATCCTCCTAAACACACCGTGCAGTTCAATGAATTTATTTCCTTGACATGTTTACAAGTACAATTATACGGATCATGGCCTACTGTAAGCTTGGTTCTACACTACGCATGTTTACTACAGAAAAGAGCTTACCATAAGATTCTATTTGGGTATGACAACATTAAAAGAAATAGTAGCATCCATAGTAGAAGAGTTCAAACAAGTCAGGGGTCAAAGGCAATTGCAGTGAAATGTAGAGAGGTCAAAATGATTTATAGAGCACATAAGTAAAGTCTATGAGAAACTTACACTGTTCCATGATGCAGAATACTCATCAATTGAGAGCAACCAACTTCCAACATTAGATTGCAAATCCAGCCTATTTTTTGTGTTTCCCAAATCCAGCAACTCATTGTCGCTGTCATCATGATTGATGTCCCTTTTTCTTTTCCTTCTACTATGTTTTTTCCTGTGCTTAACTGTTTTGGATGCTCTACGATCCAAATCACAAACACCACCTTCCAACACTCCATGATTATCTAGAAATAAATATCTATCTGATTTTCGGAAACTTATTTCATTATGCATAAATAATAATTCCCAAGATTCGGGAGTCTGGCATTTTTCTGCTAAACTGTAATAGATAACCCATGACTGAAGCCCCAGCAATTTAAATGCTTCTATATTCTTCATTTTAAAGCAATCTTTGATTATTGAGGCCAAGCTACTGTCATTGTTTGGGATTCCGCAAATCTTCGAAACAATGTCTTCAAGTTTTTCCTGTTCCTCGTGGCCCTCTTCATCTCGTAGAAGTCGTAAAAGCTGGCGTCCATGATTAAAAACTGCATTTAACAGTAATATCTGATCAAGGCACCTAAAATCACCGCACTTTGAAAGTATAACCTCAAACAAATAACTTGAGTCCATAGGATCCTTGTGCTCTATTCTAGGGTCGAGATTCTTATGAAGCATGTTAAGAAAATCACATAAGTCCCTCTCATCAAGAGTAATAAGAAGGCGTTTGCACAGCGAAGAAAAACATTCCTCCGTCAGATACTCACTTGTAACTTCCCATACATCTCTTGAATCCTCTTTATACATCAAATCAACAAAAAATTCAACAAAAAATTTTCTATCAACGAGCAAAATTTCACCATCTTTAAGTGACTCAGAAAGCTCATTGGACAACCAAAATTCAGGGACATTTTCAAGGAAATTCTCCACAGTTGCCTGGACATCCAAATCAAGAAAGTAATGGGGCTTTGTAGCAACCACTGCTGGTGATTGCCCATGTTTTCCCTTCCACTCAAGCTCCTCCCAACAAATATCTCGATTAACAAAAGAAAATTGCGACAATGCCTTAGCACCTGGTCCATGGCCCAATCCACCTCCAGTTCTAGAAAACCATTGAGATATTCGTGTTGGATTTCCTGCATTTTCAACAATGATGTCATTATCAGAATTCCTAAAACATCCACATCATTGGAGGTTGGCCTGCCCACCATCCTACATCGACATATTTATCAATCTTCCAACAGGTATAAACACAGCAGTCTTTATCCATACTAAATATTACACAGGAATAAATATCAACATTATTGGAGATACAGAAAGTAAATGGAAAATGATGATATTCAATAGTAAAAATAATACATACAAGAAACTAAAGTTACTGAAAAAGAGGAAAATTAACTCAAACATGAACTGAATGTATGAAATGTAAAATTGACTTGCCTTCAAAGAATTTCTTAAGTATGTAACTTCTCTTGGCAATAATGGACCCTGCCTTATGTGGCCTATTCTCAAATATCATTTCTAGGAGCTGAGATGCGAAGCCCTTCTTCAGCGGCTTAGATCTCAGCAAGTTCGTAAGTAACTCGCACTGATGGTGACGACTGATGGAACTTATGCCAGCTATCGTGTTACAAAGCCACAGACGAGCCTCTGATCGACCTCCAGATGCCATGACCGACCAAATAACAGATTCCAAATTACTCAAGAGAGATACTCTCATCTTGGCAGAATTGTCATCTCCATTGTCATTCCAGATGGGCTCTGACAGAAACAAATGAAGCATTATATATCCAAGGTTATCAAGGTGCTCAGCTCAAGCACCTTATCCCAAATAAATGATTCCAGAACAAAGTCCTGCATAAAACCAATAGCATTATCAATATGCATCACCTCGAGCAGGGGAAGTTCAAGAACAGAAAATGAAATGATTATCACGCAATGAACTTAAACTACAACATATAACAGTCAAACCTCTATTAAAAAGAGAATATAGGAATCCCAACAACATACGTTACCGGAATTACCAAGCCACGGATATGAACCCTTACACTTGTAAACACAACTAAGAGAATATAGATTTTCCCCGCAGAAAAAATTATCACTCTTGATTGAACTAAAACAAGGATAACAAATAGTTTGGTAAAGGATCTTGAAGAACATGGGGAATCATAAAGTATGGCTGACTCAGTGACAGTATCACCTTCGTTGCACCTGGTGGCGACTTAAACTGGATAGGAGGCTGAGAGAAAAGAACAACTGGGTTTGTCAGATGAAAACTCCAAATTTCTTAAGAAATTTTGGCCAGGCAATAATTCAGGCAGGGCTTTAAACATTGTACTCCGTCAAAATTTGGGGCTAAGGGGGAGAACGACGTCGAAGCGCGCGCAAGAAAACTAAAGCAGGGATTCACGAAGCCATACTCAGATGCTCTGAGGAGGAGTGGGGATCAGATAGGACACATGATGAGGCGACATCATGTGTAAAACCCCAAAAAAAAAAAAATAGGAAAAAAATTCAAAGTATCCAACCAAAAATTAGAAAGTAGAAATAGGCATGCGTTTGTAACCAGGGAAAGGATTGCTCCCCAAGCATCGAAGCTTCGAAAGTTCAATTCGAGTCTTCGGGTGCTAGCCCAATATCTAAGGAGTTGATCGAAACTGACATGCGGGAGGAATTGGGAGTCCTTTCTGAAATGGGTTCTGGGACTGAAGAAGAATCGTCAGAGTCGGAGTCTACCAACTACACGGATTCTGCTGCAGTGGTTTAACTAAATATGCAGAGATTCTACAAGAGGCAGAACAACACAGAGACATTCGTATTACCCTCCAGACAAACTATTACTTCATCCCAACATAACCAGAGATAAAAGAAGTAAAAAGCACAGCATAAACCTTCCCATAAAAAGGGTTTATTGTGCTTATATATACTCAAATATGCCAAAGAATTTGAAAGATTAACCAAACATGAAGAAAGACAAAGCATAAACCTAAAAATTACGAGTAGAAATAACCCTTAAAAAATTGAGAATTCATTGCTGCAAATATATAAAACCCAAAAAAAAAAAAAATCAGGAAAAAAATTCCAAGTATCCACCCAAAAATTAGAAAGTAAAAATAGGCATGATGTTAGGTACCAAACCAAAATTAACAAAGAAAAATATGAGTAGAGATAAAGAAGTTGAGAACTTCGAAATTCTATCAAGATAAAACCCAACCAATGGTTGAAATAATTTATTGCAACATGAAATAGGTGTTGCCCTAAACTACAGAAAAATAACAACAAAAAATTCAATGAGATGGAGAGAGTGAACTAGGGTGGCTTACCCTAGGCTATCATCTTGACTGGAAGAGGAGGGAGTGTGGAGGTTCTGCTCGGAAACAGAAAGCTTTGTTTCTCAACGAAAACACGAAAATTAAATAAAGAAAAAGATGAGTTGAGTTCATAAATTTTGAACAGCAGGATGGGCTTTTATCTACGTGGCGTTTGATAATCAAGTGTAACATTGTCCCAATTTCCTATATATTCTGATGGCTTTTTATCACAAATGGTCCTTTAAGTTTACGAAATTGTCACAATTAGTACTTTAGGAGCTCGTTTGTTATACAAGACTGTCTTGACATGGAGAAATTATAGAATAGTACGGTATTACCACGTCAGGATATGATACTTCCATTCAAAATTTGTCATGTGTCATATTTAAAAGAAAATTAAATCCATTTATACAACTGGAATTTGACTTCCAATTTTACACCTTTGGAATAAAATTAGAAAAGAAGAAAATAAAAAATAAAAAATCCTTCAACTGGGAGTCCTCCCCCACCCCCAATATCCGTTTATTCCCCCCTTTTCTTTTTAGCTTCCTCTGCTTTTCTACAATGAAGGAAACAAACCCACATCTCAAACCTCTCCTCCTGCTAATTTTACTACCTGCAATTCTCTCTCTACAAATAGCACAAATTTCTCCATCGCCGGAGCTCTTTACAAGTCCAAGATCCCCACCAAGGCACCCAACTCTTCGTATATGTATCGTTTCTCAACTTCTTTCATCTTCTCTCAATCCTTCAGTTTCTCCATCGAGTCGTCTTCCTCGCCTCAAAACCTCATGTTCCAATTTCTTATTACTTTGTATTCTAACCATCACACTCTGAGGATTACCATGAGGGAAAAACTTTACAGAAAAGCAAACTGAAGTAAAAACCCTAAGAAGTTCTTTTGGGATGTGAATTTAAACTAACTATAAAATAAAGTGGTAGCTGATGAGGGAGAGGGAGAGAGAGATGGAGGGTGGGATGTATAAAAGGAAGCTTCTGTTAAGCACTACTGCCTTCCCTGCTTCTATGTAAGTTTGTTGAATATTAATGATACTACGTTTGATATCGTATTTAATTTCTCTATATTATTATCCTTGGTTTTGGCTTTGTATGTTTGAATTCCTCATAATAATTATGTTTATTCTCTACGTCTCTACACTACCTTCCGCTCGAAAGCTTAAAATTGATTGAGAAAAGTTTTGCTCTTAAGAGTCTGGGCCAGTACCTGGTATCAGAGCCTAAAGTCCCTAGAAGAGTTGTTAAGTTTAAGGTTCAAACTAAGTTGTTGGTTTAATCTTCTGGTTTTTCTGTCAAGTTTCCTTTACTCACTAGTCATCGAGTTGTCTAGCTGTCAGATAGGCTCATTAGCCGTTGCCCGTTAAGCTAAGGCGTTGAGAGACCTAGGCAGGGACTAGCAACCTTGAATTAGGAGGAGTGTGTGCAGTCCCCTTCTATTGAGGGATCCCTCAAATAATATTTGAGGGACGCCCTTTAGGGTACCCTACAATTTTTTTCTCAATAATCCAAACCATTTATTTTTTAGGTCTTCATTCATAGATCATTCTTACAAAAAATTAGACAAATCGGAAACCGTTTCGATATCCAATTGTGTCATACAAAATCAACGAACAACGGTGCATCAAGAAAGTACTCAAATTTCAATAACACAATTGAGTGGTCAAATGATATCAGATTCAAGTGATTTCTTGTAGAGATAATCTTTGAATGAGTATCTACAAAATAGACGGTTTAGATTAGTGAAATGCAATCCGGAGTGGGGCCTACAAGGGGTGTCCCTCAAATAAGCTTATTTGAGGGATCCCTCAATGGAAGCTCTCTGTATATGTGTGTATGTATATATATACATTTAGGGTGGTGATTTTCCCACTCCCCTTTTATCCACCTACACTCCCTTTTGTTTTTTTTTTATTTATTACTTTTTACTATAAGATAAAAGGGAGTGTAAGTGAACAAAAGAGGAGTGAGAACATACAATTTAAAAAAAATAGAGTGTAAGTGGATAAAAATAGAGGGGGAAAATCAGTACCCTACATATATATATATATATATGTGTGTGTGTGTGTGTGTGTGTGTGTGTGTGTGTGTGTATATGTGTATATATGTGTGTGTATATATGTGTATATATGTACATTATAGTATATGTGTATGTAAGTATAATATAATATAATAATAATAATGTTATTAGTATTACAATATAATATATGCACTTCATACATTGGTGAGCATGGGACTAGTTAATCCTCCATTTCCATATGGATTTAGTAGTCCCCTCCTAAGGAGATGTTTTTGGGGGCCCGATATTAGCAATTCCATCTAAGACTAGGATTATATAAAACAAACATACTACTAAATTTAGTCCAAGCCAGTCCAAGCCAAGCTTGTGTAACAAACGAGGTTTTTTTGTGACATTAGTAGTCCTTAACGTTAGAGCCTGTTGAGGCCTAAAAAATCCACGGCTTGGCCCAAATGAATTCCCGGCCCAACGCAATTCCTTATTGAGGAAAAACCTGACTTGGAGCACACAAAAGTCCGTCATGCACGAGTCACACTCCACGTGCCATGCCAAATAAATAATCTGTCATGCTAAGAATCGAGATTAAGATTATAAAGTGCATTAGCTCTGCAAATCCATGCTAATTATCCCATCAAGCATAATGATTAAAAGCGTGCCAAGTGACATGCCATGCCAAGCGGGAAATTATTATCTCACACCCAATCACACTACAAGCTTAAGTGGGCCCAAGCCACTCAAATGCCCAGAGCTTGCTTGAGTGGGTTGTGGTATGGATGGTAACAAGTTGTCATTGGGCCCATCGATGGGTCGGGAGATGGAAGTCTCGGGTCGCTTGGGGGCCTCGGGACTCAAGCACATTTTCTTAGGCTCAAACGTGGTTAAGCACAAGAGAGAAAATAGCCCCTTGCTTCAACTAGAGTGGCCCAACCAAAATAGCCCATTGCTTCAACTAGAGTAGCCCAACCAAAATAGCCCATTGCTCCAATTAGAATAAGCCAACCAAAAAGCCCAACATTTGATAAGATTATCTCATCCATTGGATAGATCATGTGGTTATCTTAAAAAAACTCATATAATTAGAATAAAAAGCAGCACAAGCCTTAGCACTCAGCTGGAAGACAATATCACGAAAGAGCTTGGGGAATCCACATGTGAAAGGGCTGCTAGGAGGCTAAGGAGCAAGTTCCAAGTGAAAGCCTTCAAGAGACCAAGGGATATTGGCACGCAGGGAAGGATGCCCTCCCTTGAACCAGCATTCACACCCATTTTCTTTCCTTAAGTAGATTTGGCCATGGAAAGAGGAAGAAAGAAGAGAAAGAATATGGGTGAAAATGGAAGCTTTCCTCTGAAGCAGCCGCGGGAAGAAGCATTGGGCTCCTAAAAATCTATGATTTTGTGGGATTGGGCAGAGCTGATTTTGCCACCATGAGGTAAGTCAAGAAGGAGGAGAAGAAAGGGAGAGGAAAGCTTAGCTAGATTAGGAAGAAACCATTAGGGTTTCTTGGAGAAGAACCATTCCCAGTAGTTATAAATAGGACCCCTTCTACCCAACACAACACAACCCAGAACCTTCAGAGAGCAAGCTTCCTCTCTCACCTGCAAACTCAGTAATTTTCGTGCTATCCTTGCCCATTTCCCCTATTTTCCCTGTGCTAGCAGATTACTATAGTTTTGACAGAGTCACTGTCAAGCTGCCGGAAACTACTAAGGCCACCCATAATTCTCCACCATCCTCATCCCCTTTCACCAAACCTCCCTAGAACCCCTTTCTCCTTCCATTAGAACCTCTGTCTCTCATAAGAACTCACAGCTCTCTCTCCTGAAGTGTTAAACCCATGATAATTTTTGCTCCCTGTTGCGTCGATTCAACTGCACCAAAATGGATTTAGCTGCATCCTCAACTTGTGAAAAGCAAAGTAAAGATGATTGAGAACATGTAAATGATAAAGGGAAAAGTTAAGAAAAAGGTTTAGAGAAAAAAAACACACGAATATACAAGCAACTCACGGATGACCAGTTAAGGGCCTCAGAAAACACAGCCAGGGGATCCGGGAATCTTGGAGGGGTCACAATGGTCCCGCTTAAAACCCAAACTTCTTAGACACCGAAGGTGTCGCCTAAAG